GCTTCCAGTAATATATGTAGTACATGTTTGCGCGTTATTTTTACCAACAACGCTATCATCCTTATAAGAGGAAGGAAGGAGTTTGTAGATAATGCGGTACATTCCAGATAGCAGCTGACGACCTTGTACATGAAAATCTGCGCTCGGGACTATCACTTAGAGGGATTGTTTTAGGTTTCTCTTCGCGCGATTTTCCTCTAGAGAAATATAAAAACATTTTGTGGAGCAAGGGCGAAATGAGATTCGGCTCAAGTCACATTTTTTAAAATATTAATTGTTACATTATAAATAATTGCCTCAAGTAAAAGGAACGTTCTTCCTCGTTAGTATGAAAGGAGAATATTATTTTAATTATGATACGTATATTAAACTGTTAATTACATGAAACGTTTGTATAAGCTGTTAGATAGAAAAAGTAGAATTAGACCGTATGTGATCAGTCTCGGGCTAAGGAAAGCTAATATCCACCGTACGAGGCTGATGAGTTTTGGATGCCGAGGCATTTTCACTACAGCGTGGGCAACGGAGAACCATGATAAACGAAAAACCATACCTAGCATAAACAGTTGTCACGAGCCCTCGAGTGGGCATGATAGAAAAGGGGTTTTCCAGACAGGACACTTTTTACGTGACATTTGATCAAGCTGCATCGTTAGCTCTCCTGGCAAATTCTTATTTAGGAATAAAACATTTATTTCGAGTCAAGATTAGATTGTTCGTGACTCGATTTACATCAGATTCTGATAATATATCATCATTTGCTGTTTTATTAAATTTTACAAAGAACACAGGCTTTGATAATAATGATGATGAGTATCAATGATTTATGGGTGACAAAGTGAAGTTACTTTCATGGACTATGGACCAGTGAAGATTGTTTCAGACGATATTACAATCAGTTCTTGACAATAGCTGTAAGTTACTTTGTCAAACTAATAAACCAGGGAAGGAGAGATACAGGCAACCTTAAATGTCAATAGTAAGATCGGACGGTTGTCCCTTTTATGGTGCAATGGTGCTTAAAGCCGCTTACTAACTTTTGACCCTATTTAGTGCATTCGTAGCAATAACGTCTATGATAGTAGAGGATTCACAAAGAGATACGAGTTCATGTTCATAATCATTCATTTGTAATGAATGCCTTGTGAAACACAGCCAGATTGAGGTATTTTATTACTCTGAATTCTGAATTTCATTTATAATTTAAATATTACTTGTAACTTTAATCTTGTAAAATTTATGCTTCATATTTTATTATATTAAATTAAATTATAAATTGTTAATATATTGTTTTAATATAATAATATTATATATTGTTCTTATTTGAACTATGCAATTTTTGTTTGATGTATGATTCTAAAAGAGAGCATGGTTTACGAGATTCGAACGGTGAGAAATTGCCCGATCCTTCAATCGACTATCCCCTTTTATTTTTTTTTCCACATCGAGGCGCATTAACCCCCAGAGATTTCTCGGGCGCGTGAATAGGTATCTTATGAAATCCTTAAAGCCTTCCGACATTCAACAATTTAAATGCCAGTCGGCCTCAGCTAGGATTGACATCCGGCTAACATCTCCTAGGGATGTTCACGTGAGAGTGGCTGCACCAAGACTTTATTCAGGGCGTTAATAATTGAAAACCGTTTTCAACCTTGGATTCAATCTTCCACAGCCGTTCCCAACTAAATTCAATCCGCGTCTCTTGGCACGCAGCAAGTAGAATAAAATTAATTTCAAGTTGCTTTATAAATATGAAGCGAGATTCTTCCTTTGGCAGGCATGTCCTTCTTTTATTCCCTTAAAACTTTTACAGGATTATAAGATTATCAAGAATACATATAGACGGTTGCCAATCTTCTTTAACAATACGCATGCATACGCGTGAATTTTTAGTAACGATAAAAATACTCGTACAGGCGTCCTCTTTTTTATCTCTCGTAGAAATAGACGTGCGTGTTCAGACAGTATCCCTTTTGCTTTATGAAATTCATTCCAATATCAAGGATCCTTGACAAATCATAAAGCACGTGGAATTTCACCCCTTGATCGAAAGGAAACGTATTGATGTCCGTAATAAAGAAAAGCAATTTTGTTTGGGAATCGATTTGCGTACATTGCATAAAATCCAATCTGCATATTAGATTTATTTTTACTGAATTAAATTTTAACAAAAATTTCTTGTGCATGTTTATAATTATAATAATTAGATTTAAAACGACGTGTTACCAAGTAATCATTTAACGTTGCATACAAACCTAGTTGCTTTATTTCAAAATTATTTTTAGCAAAATCGTACATTTTATATTATTTGACAATGAACAAATATTGACTACTTCGAGCAATTCTTAACGAAAGTATAAAAATTGCCTTTGAACCAAGCGCGACGAAAAACACAGCGTAGTAAACTTTGTTAAATTATCCTTTCACGTTTGCACAAAGTTTACGTGTCCATTGTTATTGCGAGAGCACTCTGAGTTCTCTTTGAAATTTTCGCACTGATTCTCGCGTAAAAAATCTGTTTTAGTTTTTCTGTGTCGAATTCGTATCCTTCATAAATTGTACATGCAAATCATCCAGGAAGTGAATGATTAATATCAAATGTTTCAATGAATATTATTATTATAAATATATGAAGAAGGAACAAATCTTCTTTAAATAAAAGATAGCGTATTTTGTTTCATTCGAACGTTTAAATTATGCACAACAGATATTATTAGTATATGTGGATAATACCTGATGTGTTGCATAAGGGAAGCTGTTTACGATTTACTTATCGTATTACCGCGATGCAATATTCTATTCATGTTCCATTGTATTTTGCAAACATCTGCAAGGCGGCAGATTGTACGTAACATTAATAAACTCGCTGGAATTGATTATCCGTGACACGCATTAGGTGATGATTTACCGTAAGCATTAATATTTCAGAAACGTGTTTCCTTTCTTTACAACAGAACGCTTTCCCGGATGGAAAGATTTCTCCGCGGCTGCTGTCGACAACTGTGTAAATACACGTAACGAAAGGGTGGGAGAACGTAAATTTTCTGAAAATCCTCGTCGATACTCTCAATACTTCTTAAATGCGGCGTTTACGTGCATCCACATAAAATCGTCGCTCGCCGGTTCCGGTTGCATACACGTTCGCGCGTCATCGT